GTGGGTCTCTGTTTCCAGGCCTCTCTGGTCACACACTAGCATTTAGTGCCCTGTCAGTCGTGACACTGGGGGGAGCCTATGGGCTTCTGGCCCAGGCACAGATGACAGAATTCTCTGTGTTCCAGGACTTGAACACAGGGTTGGCTTGTGCTGTATTTCAGGACTTCCCCTGTGTGGGACTACAGCCTACGGTGTGGAGGAAATGCTGTCCTCTTAACTATCCAGGTGCTATGTTGCCCGGATTCTGTGGCTGGAAGCAGCAGCAGGAGGAGGGGCAGAGGGGAAGAAGGAAGGAAGAAAATCAGACTCCTGAGCAGGCTCCCAGTGGCCCTGTGGGGTGGCCAGCTCTCCTCCCACCAGCTGCTTCCCCTGCATGCTGGCTGGCCCGTTTGCCTCCAACTGAGTGGAAACCTTCCTTCCGGTTCCCTCTACCAGTCTGCGCTAACGAGGGTTTCTATTTCCATCCCCAAATCGTCAAACACCAGACGCTGGACACTGGACAACGACATTTCCTCTCACTCCTAATCAGAGGACATGACAGCACTATCAGCGGTCGCACGTGAGTGATCTTGTCGCCAGAGAGGCAGACACAGGTGTGCAGTGTAAAGTCAGGGATGCGGCCACAGGTAAATGAGACAAAAGCTTTGATGTGGTAAAGTTATACGAATATAAGATAAATAAATATAGGAGTTAGTACACATAAGTTTCAGAAAAGGAGAAAATGAATAAATAATAAATATAATGAGCCAGGAAACTTGAGAATAAAAAGTAAGACAATGTTCATGGACAACCGAACACATTTGTGGACTAAAATAGAAGCATGACATTTTCTAAGAAGGTTTTCTTCACAGAGGGAGAATTTCAAGCATGTAATATTCTTTGCTCATGTGAAATCAGCTTTGGTCCTTTTAGTGAATCAACCACACAAACACGGGTTAAGTGTCATTTACTATCTGGATTGGGCAGCTCGCACGTTTATGGACTGATGTGTTTTTTTTTTTATGTTGTTTGTATATTTTTCATATCGGTACAGTGGGTGTTAGGAGGTATGTACCTCCAAGACAACCAGACGGTGGAAAAGGGATTTGGAATTTACGATTTGGCACACATCATAGAGGCTGGCAGTGCAGACGTGGGTCCCTTCAGCCCAGACTTCAACTCAGGTTCCGACCTCTGCTTCAGCTTTGTCCTCTTTAAAATGGGGGTGATGTTTCCTGCCTTGAATAGTCGTCTTGAGGATTAAGTCAACTGATGGATGTCAGCCTCACGGGCCGCAGTCACAGCGCAGAAGTGTCTGCTATGTGTGCCGATTCTCTTCCAGGAAACAAGCCCACACCCTCAGGCATTAGAGCTGTATCATCCAAAGCTCAGGCCCCCAGCATGGGATTCGACCTGTGATTTTGGGGTTACAGCCTCTGCAGAGGTTGCTGTGTCCTTCATTTCATAGATGAAGAGAGTGAGTCCGAGGAAAGCTAAGTGGCTTGCCTAACGTGGCCCATGTGGGGCAGACACCTAGGCTGTCCTCCTTCCATGGCAGGTTTTCCTTGTATACTAGACTCACACACCATGGCAAGGCTTTTCCTGTCACTATCACTAAGAGTTTGGGGCAGATGACTTTTGTTTCCTTTTTAATGAGATCTTTAGTAATCTGCATGAAGGTGGGGGCGGGCGTCTCTGTCTTCATGGTCCTCAACTAGCCTATGCGGTCAAAATTGAGGCCAAAATTCATGGCTTTATAGAAACTTAGCAGGCTGACTAGGTAACAAACAGTCCCATTCCCTTAGAAACGGTGAGTTATGTAACTTGCATACTTAGGAAACAATAACTACCATCAAATATTTGAAATACTGTCATATGAAATAGAAATTAGTCCTCAGCAGCTAGAATGGTTCCTGACCAGAGCAGACTCTTACAATATATCCCTTGAATTGGATTGAGTTGAACTTATTCTATACGTTTCCGGAAGCTAAAGTTAAGAACAATAGGTACATAACATAAAATGGTAATTTCACTTTAAGAATATTATGAATAACACTCCAACCCTCGACACAACCCAACAATGGGATGGACTGCCTTGCTGAGTGGGAGGCTTTCTGTTCCCAGTAACGGTCAAGAAGGCAATAGAAAAGTTCCTTTTCAGGGGCTGGCAGGGTGGGGGCAGAGTGTTGGTATAGGACCCTCAACTGTGTAGTAGAATGAACGTGATACAGCTTTTCCCTAATGGTTGTGGATCTTGAAATACTCAGATTCAGACACTAAGAATAATCACGGTCACTGTGTTAAATGGCTAATAATGAGAATACATGTATATATTTCGAGATTTATATATATATATAATTTTTAAGTTAATTTATTTTGAGAGAGCGTGCAAGTCGGGGAGAGGCAGAGAGAGAGGAAGAGAGAGGATCCCAAGCAGACACCATACTGTCAGCACAGAGAGCCCAACGCAGGACTTGATCTCGTGCACCGTGAGATCATGACCTGAGCCAAACCAGGAGTCAGTCACTTAACCAACTGAGCCACCCGGGTGCCCTGAGATTATTTTTTTAAATTTTTAAAAAATGTTTTAAATTTTTTGAGGCAGAGAGAGACAGAGCACAGGCGAGGGGCAGAGAGAGACACACACACACAGAATCTGAAACAGGCTCCAGGCTCTGAGCTGTCAGCACAGAACCCAACATGGGGCTCAAAGCCACGAACTGTGAGATCACAACCCAAGCTGAAGTCAGAAGCTCAGTGAACTGAGCCACCCAGGTGCCTCCTGAGATTATTTTTTTAAGGCAAATTTGTTATTGTGCTTTTCATAGTATCACTGCACTCAATGTAAGTGTGCATTCCATTACCAAAAGCTGAACCTGTCACAAGTGCGGGCTACTCCGTTATTCACATATCAGCTGTGTCTGGCATTGTCTTGCTTCGTGCCTTACACACAGCAGTTCAGTGAACAAAAGAGCAGAAGTGTAAGGTTTGGAACTGAGTTCTTGGGATTTGGAATACATGTTGAAATAAAATCTCATGCTATTAGATTACTTTTTCCGAAAAGTACGTGCAGTTGACGTAAAAGTTGCACATGCAATGACAGACCGTTCCAACACGGATGCTGAGCTATCTCGAGTCCTGGAGCATGTGCAGTCCCAGGACAAGACGTCAGACTGGAGGGGAATTTTGAAAGCATTGTTATCTCAAGAGCCTTCAAGTGTATATATCCTTTGACTACCTGTTGCCGTATGAATTTATGTTAAGGGGATAATTAACAACGTAAAAAGTTTTAGGTAAAAGATTGGTCATTAAAACTCTTTCTATGAAGCAAAAAAAAAAAAAAAAGCCAACTGATGAAATTATAATAGAGGATTAGTTAGATATATTTAGTGTAGCCATAAAATGGAATACTATATGCTATGGAAAATGATGTTATAAAAATATATTTATTGATATAGAAAGATATGTATATGCATAAAATAAAAAGGAGTAAAGAACAAAATTACAGTATAATCCATCTTAATTTAAAATTGTGTGTGCAAGGAAAAAAGTTGCAAAAAATTTTGAGCCAACATATTCAAGGCAGTTATCACTGAATTCTGGTATTTTTTTATGAGTTTTTTATGAGATAGATACATATGTGTGTATGTGTGTGTGTGTGTGTATGAACACCGATTTCCTACATGGGCATACAGCAGTTGTGTAAAGAAAACTCAAATTAAAAAACTCCTTTAGCTTTGTGGCAGTTCAATACTAGTGGGAATGACAACATTTAAAACATAAGTTCCTGACCATGTTGTCACCAAAAAGTGAGGGAGAAGAGAGATGATGCCTTGAAAAGGTGTAATTTTGAACAATTAAAAATTAATGGTGTGGTAGATAGAGAATGTCAGGTCCAAACGACCGGCTCCTTTCTGAGTCTTAATGGGGATTAGATTTGTCTTATTTACGAGAGTTTCAATTTCTCAGTCCCACCCCCTCATCACTGGAAGAGAAAGCAGAGTCCAGAAGAGTCGAGTGTGTGCTTCAAGGTCACAGGACGGGGACAGAACTCTCCCACGTGCTCTGGTCAAGGTTACGCTGCTCAGTAATAGAGTTGGGAATGAGCGAAATCCTATCTCAGATATGTTTTACAAGAGCTACAAATGACTGTCCAGGACGTACCACCATGGAAAAAAAGACACCTTGGGGTCAAAACGCGGCTGCAACCCTGAGTGTCACCTGGGCCAGCTCTCCCCCTGCCTCATCCCCAGCACCGTCATGTCTGCAAGGGCGTGATGATGTGCCCTTTCTAAGGCTACCGCGAGGATTGAAAAGGGGACGAGTCAGGAGTAAGACAACGTGGCTGACAAAGCCTGTGATACGTGCTTCACATTATTATCGACAACGTGCCTCTCCATGTGGAAATCAGCAGTAAAGAGGACTTTCTCAAAAGAATAACCCATTCTTTTTCAAAGTCGTCACTGTTAGCCTCCACGTTCTGAGAGTGTCACACGCTGCCTCTGAGAGACAAAGGGAGTGCCAACACGTCCAGGCCATTCGCGGGCCGGTCGGCACTGCCCTTTCCACCAGCCAGTCTGCACAACTCCCTGAGACCCCAATTAAAGAATCTGGGCACAAGTCATGTGAAACTTATCAGGCACCATACACATAACATGAAGGAAAAATTTTTAAAAATTAAAAACATCACGTTGAAATATAAATGCACCTTTTGGTTAATGCCCCCGTTTAATTCGGCTTGTTTCGGAAATACTTAGATTACCTACAAGCTCCCATCAGTGTAAAGACACAAGAAAAAGTGATAGTTGATGTACCAGTTTAACGTGCGTATTTAATCAACTAGACAATAAAGTAAAATCAAGGCATCTCAATATCAGAACCAGCAAGAAATGCTGGTAGAAAAGAACCCTTTCTCAACTGGCCTAGTTCGACATCACGCACCAGCACATCCCCAGTCCTTGCTTTCAGGTAACATTCCTTGCATGCCTAGCAAAAGTACACGGCCCGTCGTATTAACATACCACAGTCTACGACTCTTCCAACGTCAGCATCGATGGCACAGACGTCCAGACGGCAGCTGCGTGCTCCTTGGCCTCAGCCTCTGCGTGAGCTTCTCTGCGCACAAGAGAGGACAGAAGAGGTGGTTAATGGAACTGAGATCACCCCCTTGAATTGATGGGACAGAGGGTGTCCCTACATGTCTGCCACTCCCCTTAATGCAAGGAAGGCCATGCACGCAGGCCTCACACTCATGGCAGTGCGGCTTGGGCACAGTCCTGGGCCTACACAGCCCGACTGTACCCTTCAAAGGCGTAGTGCCTTTGAAATCGAAGTCTGCTCTTTAGTAACAATTAAAGGACAAGGTCAGGCGTGTGAAACTTGAGTCAGTCCTTAGGCCTCCGGCCTCTGCACAAAGACCACCAACAAAGGGAGAGGACTCAGAGATGAGCCCAGGGGCCCGGGACACCACTTGCCCATCAGGGAGTAATCACAGACATCCACAGAAGGTTCCGGACCGTGGGGTGTGCATGCCCGCTTGAAACATGGCAGCGGGTGGGATCGAATAAGAATCTCAGAATCAGGTTGCTTGCCTGAGGCCACATGAGGACTAATTCTACAATGGAAATAGGAGCTTTAAAAAAAAACAACAGAATAAAGAAAGATGGGAAAAGGAAGGAAGGAAGTCTGATATTTCCCATTTTCTGGGTGTGCTCAGAGAAGTGGGGGCCTTGAAGGGAAAGAAAGGAATAGAGTTCCTTTGGAACATTAATTCAACTTTTTCTAACCACCAAGCATATTCATTCCAATTTTAGCAGCTCTGTGGGAGGAGATAAGAAGCATGACATTGTACGCGCTCAACTTTGCTTCTGTTCTGCGCCTCTACCTGGGACGCCCTCCCTGCGGGTCCCTACAGCCCTCCCGGAGCCACACTTTCCACTGGGGAAGTGAGGAGACTCCAAGCCTGCCTGCTCACAACGGCACCGACGGAAGTGGCCACTACCGACCACTGGCCTATGAGAGGCCGGGCTCTGCATTAGAGGCTGGGGGCCCACAGTCCCATTTTGCTCAGGGCAGGACGTACCATTCCCACCTGACGTTGGTTCAAGGTACCGTGTGGCGCTGGGACACACAGCTAGCACACAAGACCAGCTCTCTCTGACTTTAGCGTTCTTTCTGCATCTCCGGGCTGCCCTCCACCGTCCCAGCCCCATGAAAACGTCATCCTGGTTTTTTTTTTATTCTCTTGGAAGGAAGCATTTAGTCCTTTTGAACACAGCCTGGTTCACATGCAGAAACCTTCGCTTGTGTCTTCCAGGGCAGCACATTGTTATTGAATGTGGAGACCATTTTGGATCACCCCCCAGATCAAATGTAGCATGTGACCAATTTTAAAAGGGGTCACGAAGGTATCAAGTTTCTGCTGATTTCTAATAAATGGGAAAAATAAAACAGAGAACCCATTAGAAGCTATTTAAGAGAATTTCAGGCCTTGGAATCTGACTTTATTACCGAAAATGGCATTAAATCTAGTTTCTACTTGGGTTAGAACATGCTTGCCTGTTGTGAGTCAGAAGTAAAAGTTCTGATGGCTCCAAGTGGCCCCATATGGTTCCCTGTACCAGCACAGGGGAGGCCACCTGTGAATGACACGGACCCAGCCGACTGGGGAGGGCGGAGCCAGTACATGCCTGGGCCTTGTTCTCTCTCCTTTAGCTGAGCGATTCTGTGCAGGGAAGGGGCAAGGGCCGCATGCAATCCTGAGGGCGGGGAGGGAGGGGGGTGCGACAGGAGGACAGGCTTTGTGTCAGAAACATCTTTGCTGAGGTCTATCTCCCAACCCGCTCAGAAAGAGAAGTTCATGGCGAATGAATAGAATTAATGCTCGTGTGATCAAGTAAGGTGTAGGTCTGTGTGTATGTGCGTGTGTGTGCATGTGTGCATGTGTGTGTGCACACAACACACTCACCTAAAATCACCATTGCTTTAATTTGTTTTTAGTCAATTATCTTTCTTTTTCAAAACTCAGTAAGTCTATAGAAGTTTACATGACTTTACGTTTATCAGAACAGGGTATCGGATTTTGAAATGTTGGAAAACATTGCCTAGACTCCAACTTATTCAGTCCACGGTCTTTCGCATTTCTTCTTAAGGCCAGAATAGCCAGCATCCCGGCTCTAATGGTCTGTGCAGATACTCACAGCCACGTGAGTTCAAGAAGCATGAACAAGCATGGGTCAGCCCCAGCCTTTTTTTTAAGTCTATCTAAAAATATGAATAATCTAATTACTGTGGATGGAAAATGACAGGATTTCAAAAGCTTTGGGCGAGTTTCTCACTTGTAAAGTGGGAATAATGGATTAGAGAGTTTTTGACCTCTCTGATTAAGCTTTATTTACCAGTAAGTTAGGGAGCTGGGTCTTCAAATTATGTGAATATTCTGGTTAATTAGTAAGTAAGAATGATTCCATGTTATCTTTTACACACAAAATTGTACTTCTTTCCGCATCAGAAGAGAAGTAGCAAGCCTTCCACGGAAATTACAACAGCCACACAACTAAAACTTCAACAGGGCAGGCTAACTAACTCCACAAGTTGGGGTCAGCTTTGGAACCTCACACACTGGAGACTGATGGAGCCATCACAACACAGAGCATTTACTTGTCCCTTCCCATAGCCTTCCTGAAAAAGACACCGGATTTATCGTTACCTGTGTCATCCATATTCTAGGACCTCTGCTATGGTTCCTTTTTGGGTAAAGGGAAGATATATTTACAAAGACCTGAAAACAGAGACTTGCCATGTGCTAATAATGACCATGCACTGGTTTACTTAATCCTCACAGCAAAGTAGGGGAATCACAAGACCGACTCTGCAGGTGACAAAAATGAGACACAGACAAGCTCAGTAACTGGCTTAAGATCACTTCATTCATAAACAGTAGGACCGGATTTGAACCCTGACAATCTAATGCCTCAGCATGTGCCCCTGAACACCACACTAAGTCCTCAATAAAGTTCGAGTTCACTTTAGAAGCCATGAAATCATCATACACCTAACCATCACACACCTAGACCGAGCAGAATCTCAGGAAGAATTTAATAAGAGGTTTCTTACTATCTAGGTCACTTGCCCCTGTGCTGTCCACCGGCCACGTGGGCCACTGAGCACTTCAGCATGCCTACTTCAAGGTGACACGTGCTATGAATGTAACATACACTCCACAGGACGCTATGAAGGGAAGAATATAAATATTCCATGAATAAATATGTATTGCCTATTGATACAATAGTATTATAGGGTACATAATATATTATTAAAACTAACTTCGTCTGTTTATTTTCGTTCACTTTAATCTCTGTTGGAAAAGGCAGTCTTACGCTTGTAATTTTGTGACTTGCGCTATGGTCCCATTGGACAGTGCTGATCTGGAGTCTCACTTAAAGGGCTCGTTTGACCATGATTTACATTTTGAGTGTTTATCAGAATACAGCCAAATATAAATGCTCGGAGTAGACACATTCTCACCAGAGAAGAGTACAAAACACTCAAGTCTGCCCCAGGAGTGTTAGCTTTATCATCTTCTCAAAATGTGTAGCTTCTGAAATTAAGGTTCTGAAATTAAAGTTCGTAACACCCGGCTGATCAGATCAGGCAGATCGTGTGCCTCATGCTGGCAGATTGGGTGTGGCATTTTTGTTGAGCAGCTGAAAGCTGGCTGCTTTATGTTTATTGTAAACACGAATTATTATGCATTATATAAACTGCTATGTGTTCACATCTTTCTCAGTCTCCTAGGACTTGCCTCCGTGGCAGTGCTGTAGTGGCCCATACCCTGAATTCTAAAACCGTGCTATTTGCTTATCATTGGCTTTTCAGGCTCCCTAGAGCTAACTTCCATTCATACCTTATGGAAAAGCTGGGCTGTGAGAAGTGACCACAGAGAGCTTCAGATACACGAACATATGGCCACGGCCTATAGCAATGATAATAAAAACAATCCCAACAACCAGCTGACCACGGTGTTAACTTGGGCAGCCGTCCTCTTGTAAGACTGGGATAAGAGCTTTCGTGACATCGCCTAATGGTCTGCAGGGGAAATTGGGCTCTCGTTGGCCTGCCAATGGAGTAAGAGCAGACTAAATGGAGTGGAGCAGAAAACCCTCTCTAAACGGGGTGAGCACACGACTGATATTTTACAGAATTTGGCATCTGAGAAATAATGGGACTTTCTTAGTACTGTCTGAGGAGACGAAAAAATGAGATTTAGATGTAGATCCCGATTAATCGCCTACAGAGTCAGCAATCCCCAAACCCCAGGCTCACCTGCGTCACGGTGTAAACATAGCCGCATGAACCCACCACTGACAGGGTCCCCAGAGGTGGGTCCCAGGAGGTGCGGTGGGGGAGGAGAGAGTGTGCAGGGGGGAGGGGGGAGGGGGAAGGGCAGGGAAAGGAAATTTGCTCCCTGGGGAAGACCTCCCCAAGTCAGGTGTGGGATCCCCCGGGGGAGGCAGGGTATTTATGTTCTGACACTGGCTTGTCAACTCACCATCACAACAACACTCGAGAGCGCGTGATGTCAGCCACACCCTGGAGAACCGCCGTACACGGGCAAAGCAGGGCCCTGCTCACCCGGGTCCCTTTCCTGGACTCGTTTACCTTCTCAGCCAAACCAGAACCTTCAAAAACTGCTCTTCAAACCACATCCTCTCTGAGCGCCCCCAGGTCACATCCGACCACTGATTGAACAAATATTCGTGTGTGCCCGGGAGGCAAGCTGGGACAGATTTGAGCTGGGAGATCCGAAGCCCCAGCTTGTGCATCATCTACTCTCATTTTCTAGAAAGGGGGTTTTCATTAATGAAAGTTTAAAAGCCATTGGACTAGCCGATCTCTAAGGCCTTCTTCCGCTGGAAGGCGGGGGCGTTGTTAGGTGCTTTATGACACCTGGCGTGAAACCAGAATACTTGTACTGATTTGGCTTGTGATTAGGAACCTACATCTCCAGGAGATACAACATTGATGTGGGCATAAAGAAAGCAATGAAGAAAGGGAATCATTCAAGCTTAATTACTTACACTACGTACATACCAATTGGGAGGCTATTTAAGGAA